CCCCCCCTTTTTATTATTGTTGAAGTTTGAGAATATTTACTTTGTTGAATTCCTTTTTTTGATTTCTAAAATCCACCTTGTATAGGGTGAATCAATAGAGTAAGTCTTAGCTACTATGTAGAGCTTTCTTGGCATTAAAGGGTCAAACAACACTGTAAATCGGAATTAGAAACAGAATTGGCTTGAATGGATCTTCAATCACAAGACCATTTGAATGCCAATCTATTAGGAATGGAAATGGGAATTTGAATCCCTATTCTGCAAACCAAACAGACAAAGTTTTTTATTTTTTTTGATGCCCTAAGTTTTTATTTTTTCCAAGTATATGGTAGCAGGAGCCCGGAGGATAGTGGGCTACGGGAGTAGTCGTGGTCGTGAAACACCAGCGCAGCCAGCCTTGACCTTGAGTAAGTCCAGATAAAAGCAATATCCAGTTTCCTTTAGGTATTAACTATTTGGATTCTTAATATATTTCTGACTCAGAGGATCACTTCTCCAAATGATGATAAGGTTTAAAGTTGGTTCTTTATCATTCATTAAGTACAAGAGTGGAGTTCTTTTCTCCTTTTTCTTCGCCCCGCCGGGGGAATTTGGTTGGCATTGCAAGTAATGTCTGTAGGCCACAATCACATGCAGAAAGCATTACTTACATACAGAGAGTATCTTTCGAAAAGCCTTTCCCAATCCCCACTCATTCCCTTTCTGCTTTTTTTCTTAACGAATAACGGAGAAACAAAAGGCGACTGGGGTCGAGAGGCCCATAGCTAATTGGTGGGGACATTAGGACGTGGTGATTGGTTACGTACAGATGATTTTATGTGGCCTGTGCCTGTGGGCACTCATTGGGTCGATATCTTCTGCAATGCATAGCTAAACCAGGAAGGAGAATCATATTCATCCAGGCTCCACTACTCCAAGGTCTTTCCAACCTAGGTTAATGTAGGGCACCGCTCTGGATTACTGCCTAGTGGATCGAGTATATGGTACAAGCCAGATCCGCCTTGAATTAGAGAGGAAGGTTCTCCATGTGAATGAGAGCCTTCGGAGCTTTAGAAAATTAAGGGGCTCTGGTGGCAATATTAGGATATAACAGGTTCCCTTGGTTGGTCTCTGGACATTCCATTTAATTAATTAATGAAGAGGGGAACTTGTTCATATGTTGCTTCTTGGTTGGGAGCAGCAACAAGCCAACAATAACTATACCAGTAAGTTAAAAAAAGACAGGCGCAGCCACCTTTCTATGTTTTCAGGTGAAGCTTAATACTCAATAGATGTTGGGCAAGTATCGATCTACCACAGCTCGGATAGCAGTAATTTTCTGGCTAGGAGTAGCTTCTGCAGATTATATGCAAGGTACCAACTGAAATCTTGAAGCCAGTCTGATACTAACACAAGGAACAGCAATTACAACAGGCAAAGCTTTATTACAACAAAATGCACATAAGCTCTAGTAATACATGTTAATTACTATGGTAATTGCAACCATTTTCCCTGAAATTTTTAACATAGTTGCAATATATTTATTTTTTGTACATGCTCTCCATGGAAAGCGGGAGCTGGAGGTGGCGCAAGCCCGAGTATTTCTTGAGGGCGTTAAGATGGCTCATGAGCCATAGATATCACACATGATAGTTGGAGGTAGGAATGGCAACGGGGCAGGTTCGGGGCAGGGCACCCCCTCCTCGTAGTCAAGATATTCTATCCCGTTCTCGCCCCATTCCTGGTGGTGGGGCGGGTTCAGGCGGGGCACTCACTCAATCCTGAATTTTCCCAGCTTCAAGACAATCACCTAAAAAGTATCTATTTTGTGGATAATTTATAAATAGAATTATTGGAATTTGGGGGTATTTTAGGAATTGAATAATGCTAATTTAAGGGTACTTTAAAAATGGAAGTATAGGAATACATTATTTAAAGAATTTAAGAAAAACTTAGAAATATTTTAGAAATCAATGTTAAAGCTAGGGAGATTTTACTAATATACCTTCAGGTTTAGAGAATTATATACAAACCCCGTCCCCATTTACAGTTGGGGAAAACCCACCCTATTTGGGGCAGGGGGAGCCTCGATTTTATGGGAGAAATTGTCATCCCTAAGGCTATGTTTGGTTTGAAGGAAAAAGTAGGGAAAGGTAAGGAAAGATAGGAAACTTTTACAAATTTTGTATAGATTTTCCTGCTTTTCCCTTTCTTTCTCTACTTTTTCCTTCAAACCAAACAGGTGATGCCAAAGTTATTGTTGAGCTTATGTTGGTGGCTAATTCTAAACCACTATGGCACATTTGATCTCTGAATGCGGACTGCAGAAGACTTTTAAGCACCCACAACAATTGTGTAATTACTTACAAGCCTAGGAATTACAATATAATAGCTCATAAGATAGTCAATTATGCCACTTTCTCGTTGATGATTGAATGAATCGTAACCTCTGGGATTTAAAAAAGTGGTGTTTAATTAATGGTTCCACATCATCTACATTTCTCCTTGCAAATACATTGGGCCAATCACAATACATCACGTTGGTCATGTAGACGTGGATCACATATGTAAGGCTGATGTGCCGTATCGTGATTGGCCCAATATGGCAATATCCTCAGATTCCATGTGGTTCTTTGACAGCAAGAGAGAAGTTGCTAAGGCTGTTTTTGTTTTGAAGGAAACCTCAAACCAAACATACCCTATTTGATTCAAAGCTTCATAATAGATTTTCATCTTCAGAATAGAAGTCGAGAATCCCAGATATGGATAGTAATTTATATTGGAATATCACAGTGATGTTGCAGAACGGTAATGTAGACATTGGTTAGGCAGAGATGGACTTGGTATAGGGTATAAGGACACTATGGAGTATTAGCTGGACTAGGCCCATCCAAGCTATCAAGCTTGAAATATAAGCTAGGTCCATCCTTGGAACCCAAATCATACTTGTTAAAATTTAAAACCTAGAAAGAAGACCGACTAGATTGACTACTACTACGTACACGTGTGAAAAAAGAATGAAGTCTAGATTATTGTACATACAGGAACAGGCAAGCACAAGCTGGACGGGCCAGGTTAACTGGTCTTAACTAAGCCCATCCTAAATAATAGAGTTGAGTGGGCTTCCAGTGAACATGGGCCAAAGGGGATAGGCATAAAAGACTAAGGCGTCGACCAAGTCCTACTTCTAAGATGGGCCTGTCGGATTCGAATCGGGCCGCCAGTTTCCACTCCTGTTAGAAGTCAACCTGTTAACATGGAAAACTATTTCTGCCCATTCATCCTTGCTGAACGAAAAGAGGAAAATAAACTACCACCCGTTTGATATGTAACATTTTGGGTTTAGACCTCCAAGGGCCCATGGATATGATCCTGTTGAGACGCCCACTAGTGCCTCCTCAAGATTATTGAACTCAAGGACCTTACCATCAAGGTAAGGGTGTCAATGGACTGGTTTTGGATTGGACCCCGTCCAGTCTAAAATCAGTTTAGACGGATTGGATGGGCCAACAAGATATATTGGATTAGACCGATCCAGTCCAAAATATTTATTAGGTTAGATTGGACCTGGTCCGTCCGTAACAAATTTATATTGGATTGGGTAGGATTATGTCAATATCTGATCCATTGATATAAAATAAGAATATGTGTCAATAGACCGAGTTTGAGTTGAAACCAATCTAAATCAAAATGAATTTAAACAGATTGAATGATCCAGACATTGAATTGGACCGATCCAAATTGGTCCAAAACATTCATTGGATTGGATTGGACCTGATCCATTTATAATGGGCTCACATTGGACTGGATCGGATTAGACCAAATCCAGTCCAATTGGCACCCTTAGATCAAGATCAAGCACAGCAAATGGCTAATGGGCCATGGAAATTTTTCTTTTTTGGTTCCCCAAATGGATCAGTAAAGGCCCTCTGTTTCATGAAATAAATAAGTAGTGAAGAAGTTGTTGATTTTAATTTGCGTGAGGGTGGCTCTTAACTATGATGGTACGTAAGTGGAGATTTTCTGAT